TCACTTTATAACGCCCCCAAGGCTGAAAGGGCGAACATGTTTGGTGTAACGGGGATTCGAACCCGCGACTCGCAAATTGCGAGTCGAGCTCCCTAACCACTTGGCCATGCCGGGCCGCTTTTGAAATGACGGGAGAACAGGCATAAATAATGTTGATGCCAAATTTTATTTCACAAGCAGGATATTCTACATTAAATTGTTAAGAATTAATCACACTATCATTCACATTTCAAAATTTGACGTAACTTAAAGAACAAAAATGTAAATTTACTCCATGTTATTGTTGAGCGGCTATTAGCATGACTGAAATGCTCAACAATTACTTTTCGTGGTGGGCGGTAGAAGTAGCTCAAAGCTTTGGTTCTGAGTGAAACCAAGAATGCAACATAATGAACTTTGCCCCCCAGTGGCAGAGCAGTATGTCTGCGGACTTACAACGCTAAAAACCGGGTTTCGATACCCGTGGTGGGCAGAGCACAGATAGCCCATTGTGTAGCTTTGTGCATAAATTCAAACAAACAAGCAATTAACTTTTTAAAAGTCCATGAAATAATTTAAATTGATAGATTAACTTAAACTTTTCTTGTCACTGGGGACGGGTACTTTTGCTTGTCACAAAATAATTTAAGTACATTATTTTGTCAAACTATTGAAGACTTAAAATATGTCAAAATATTATTTTAGGTAATTATTTACAGAATGACCAGTATGTCAGATTGAATGTAAAAAATTTAATGTTACTGATAAAGGATTTCAAAAAAAGAATGATTAAAACTTTTTACCAAGTCTTGCCTCCGGATCTTTTGTCATACGGGCTCTCTCAACAGGAGAGATTTTCTGGAAAGATTCATCAGAAGGTGCTAACAGAGTGTATGGACCTCCAAGACGGAGTTCATTGACTAGATTGGACTGGAGTAATGTCGTGGCTAATTCTCGAAACCTACCATCTTCCACGAGAATTTCGGGAATCGTTAAGGTCCCCATCCGCCCAGGAGGAACGAGAACTCGATCGATCAGGTGGACGATACCATTTTTGGCTTCTTGATCTTTTCTTACCAAAGGACCACAGTTCACCGTAATCATCTTTATCAATTTAGAAATAAAAATGAAATTACAGTTTTTAAAACAAATTATTACCAACGTTAAAAACTGAACATTCTAGTTCCCAATTAAAACACATTTTAATACAGTTCGAAACGTCAGTTTTCAATAATAATAATAAATGTTTAAAACTGCGTTAAATTGTTAAGTACCTGTTGTTAATGAAAAACAAAACTAAGTCAACCAACCTAAACAAAATAATTAATAAATAACATTTTTAAGGACTCAGTGTAATCAAATACAAGAAAACTTATAATGATTTACCTCATAGTTTAATAGCGTATGTAAAGTCTGGAGATGTGTGTTTCTTACCCCCTTTGAATAACTCTGGAGATGTGTAATTCTTACCCCATTTGAATAATTCTGGAGATGTATGTTTCTTACCCCGTTTGAATAACGGTTAATACGAAGTTTTTGGCCGTCGTAAAGGCTTTCAATCTCCAAATCTGCATCAAAGTCAGTTGAGTGAAGCTTACGTCCAACCATATGATAAAGAAGATATGGAGATTCGGGTTTTTTGAGGCTCTCCTCGAATTTTTCTCTTTCTCTAGGTCCCATTGTCTATAGAAATATAAAACATACAATTATGAATGAAGTATAGTTTCGTATGTATTACTTTACACGGAACTGCCAAGATGACTTAAAAGTGGGATATTGGGGTGCGCAGTTCTTCAGCAGATACTACTAACGATTTAATTTGTCTTTTATTCAGTTTGTTTATAAGCTCCAAGCGAATGTGACATAACTACAAACATTATTCTTACAACGTTTCCTTTTATTCTTTCGGCTCCTTACATTATTTAAAATATCTCTCACTGATGTATCCTGACCATTCTCATTGTTAAAAAGAGTTTTGATTTGTTTTATTTTGTTATCCTTAGATAAATTAGTCTGGAAATATATATATATTTCAGAACCTTTGAATCTGGTGAAAACTTATAGTTCAGACAATTGTACAAAAGAAGAAATATTTTAGGTAATATTTTTATTATAGAGTCTCATGCAGGAATGATAGCACAGCACTAAAGGTAAGAACAAGATAACTAGAATACAGTTGAGAGGAAATTATTTGTGGTAAGTCTAGGAAACTTGTGATAGTAATGAAACATCATTGAAAGCAACCAGGTAAAGCAAAATAAAATAAAAGACATGAACACTAACTTGACTATTAACACTGTTAATTTCCATTGAAGATCTTGATCAGCTACTTTTGAATTAGATATAATGTTTACCTTATTCACGCTTTATAAATAAGTCAAAATGTGCATTGGAATGACTCGAGTTACACTACTGGGGCAACACCACTGTCTCCTTCTTTCGCTTCAACAGAACTAATAATTAGACGTTAATTTTAAAGTTTATGAGCAGGACGCAATCATAGTCAATCTTTCAAGTTGTACTAATTATTGACAAGCTAAAGATTCTTGACAGCCAATCTCAATCATTCTTTGAATTGCACTATCATCTCTTCAAGTTGCACTAATTAGGGACCAGTTAAAGTTCGTTGACAGTCAATTGCAATTCTTAAGCGAATGTCTCCCAGCGATTCTTTTTTGGTCATTAAGACCCAACATGTTCAATGAGAATAAAGACAGTTCAATTTGCAATAAATAGAAAGATATAATATTAACGGGTTTGAAAAGTGGCCAACAGTGGACTTCCATAGGTAAGCAAAGCCTAGAAAGACACAGTTTGATGACTTAAAGTTATAGATGAGTATAGGTATGCTATCAAAAACATCAAATATATAAGATAAGATCATATGCAGCGGAAAAACAAGAAACTTTAGAGTCAAAAATCATACCCAACGAAAAAACGAGAAACTTTATAGAGTTAGAGACGTATGGACGCGTAAATTAAGAGATATGTATACAGATGCTCTGAACCACAAACCTGATATCATAATATACAGAAATTGTACTGGCAGGTTTATAAAACAGTTGGTTTACGTCTCCATGATAATCACATGGTCACCATTTAGCTAAGTAAAATATTGAATACCTTGAGGAGGTCACAACTCTATACATTTTATCGAACTTCGACACGCCCTACTAGTATATATATATATAGAAAACTATAAACAAAGCTAATCTAAAGCATCATAGAATTTCGCATGGCTCATTTCAGTAAGTGACTAGAACACATTCTTATAGCAAAAAAAATCCTGCTCAAACGACGAAGCTTTAATACATTTTGGGCGCATTAAAATAACTTGTGTTATACGACACTCTTTCGTCCCACTTTACTTACATTGACTTAAAGACACGCATTACTATTATTTCATTCAGTACTTATTTATTCATACCTGAAAAATCACTATATGAAAACCCTTAAGAATTAAACTGTGTTTAATAAAGAAATTTATTACAGGGTAATGTTAAGAAATTTGTATCCTGACTTATTATGGTTGTCCTTATTCAAGATTATCATTAGACGGTCCCATCTTTTCAGACAGATAGATTATTTTAACTATTCCCCCTTTTGTAAATATATGTTAAATATTTCTTTTCTTTTTCACCAGAGGTGAAATTGAAAAGAGAATCTGTGACGCAGAGGCCTAATGCATTATTTGATTGGCCGTATCCTCTGCTGTGGACTGCACATATCTAAACTTCAAGTAAATTTGTACTTCATGCGCAATTTTCAATTTTTAACTCGTGTTGTAAACTACATCTCTTTATAAACACAAATTCTCATATTTTAGATTTTATTTCATGTACGATCGGTATGACGAAAGGATCTGCAATGTACAACCTACTTATCAAATTAAAAATCCAGCTTCATTACGTGTCCACATAAACAGTGTTAAAAATAACTGTGCCAATTTCCTTTGGAAGTCTTGGAAGCTCTGAATACTTCGATCGTGAGTAAACATATTACTATGTGCCCCATCCCCCAGTGGCACAGCGGTATGTATGCGGGCTTACAACGCTAGAAACCGGGCTTCGATACCCGTGGTGGGCAGAGCACAGATAGCCCATTGTGTAGCTTTGTGCTTAACTTCAAACAAACAAATATATATACAAGGGTTAATGAGCTATAAAACAATCCCATTTAATAAATTTCAACCGTCTCAGAAGTTTGCCTTACATATATTATTGCAAGTATTGCATTGAATAAGGACAACTATAACAATTCAGGATACAACATTCTTAACATTACCCCGTAATAAATTTCTTTATTAAACACAGTTTACTTCTTAAGGGTTTTCATATATATACAAGGGTTAATGAGCTATAAAACAATCCCATTTAATAAATTTCAACCGTCTAAGAAGTTTGCCTTACATATATTATTGCAAGTAAAATGGTTCTAGAAATGCTTATATTTTTTTTCTTACTTCAAAGGCTTCGTTGGTCGGAGCAAAGAGAGTAACAGCGGCTCCTGCCTGCCGTAAACTGTCTGATAGTCCTGCTTTGGTCAAATAATCTACGAAGTACGTGGCTCCAAGATCTCTAGCGGTGTCCAGCACGTTAGTCATCGGTTTCACTGTCAGCAAATATACGCTAGTGTCAGGTCAACTTTTTATTTACACAGTTTACATCTACTATTATGATAATCTCTATTTATTTACTTTATTTTAACGTTATGTTTTTATAGTGTACGTTTTATTATTTTCATTGTTAGTTGGTTTTCTTAGAGTATAGAAAAATATATTTTGGGGTTTGTTGTTAATATTCTGATTCGTATTAGATTGTCATTTACAAAATAATATCTATCTATAAATACCATAGATATATACTTACCTCCACTGCATCCCGGTTTATGTTTAACTTGCTGGAATCCTTCACAACATTCGTATCGTATTACTCTGGAAGTAGTCAAACAATAACTATACATCTTATTCCATTTAACATTTTACATCAATTTCTTTAGGTTTTGCAGCTGCAGTTTAAATAGAGAAATAATAGCTGCGCAAAATTTCATTTTCTTAGCACTTTCATACAGCTGTATTTTCACAACGAAAGGAAATTTTGTGCAAATGAATATATATCTCTAAGTATACAATTAAAGTTACAATTAAAAATGTATAAGACTTTCTTATTGGATAGTCTTTACAAGAATAACATTTCGTTTTACCCTTTTTCTTGTAAGATTGCTAAAAAGAGACATCTACATTTCTAGAACTTTTTGGTTACTTAACTGAGATATTATTGGTTACTTCTTGGTTCTTCTACATTTCTAGAACTTTTTGGTTACTTAACTGAGATATTATTGGTTACTTTGGTTACTTAACTGAGATATTATTGGTTACTTAACTGTTTTATGAGCTTATTATCGCTGTGTGGTAATTAATGTTACGATTTTTTAGCTTAGTGCTTTTTGTCTCAAACTATCTAAGATATTATTGTTGAAGTTAAGAAAATCGTTTTAATAATGTATAATGCACTTAGGTCTTCTTGAGTACCGTAAACACTAAAGTTTTTGTTTCAAAATCAAATATCCTCTTTCAAGCTGTTACCGACAAGAATTGTTATGGTTGTGTACATACATTCTGTACGCAAGCTTATCGAACTTTCATTATGATTACAGTTTATCCAATATTAAATTCTAACTTTTTACTTCAAATAATTTTGGCTATCCTTGCAGTACATAATTATTTTAAAAATTGTATTAAGTGACCTTTAAACAAACCTTTGTTTAAATATATTTTGCGTATACTGAAGTATATAAAAACACAATTATTTTGAGCAAGAAAATCCCCCAATGTTTTTCAAAATTTTGTGCATAGAATCAGAAATATAATTATTATAAAACAGCAATATTTGTTTAAGGTGTCCATTTTATAAAATATTCAATGTTGATAAATCATTTCGTACACAACAATCTATTTTAGGCAATTGATTAACATTTTGACGTTTGTGTGTGTGCATCATTCTCTCAATCAGTTTATGTTAATTAGATTTGTGAATATAGTTACAGCAAAGTAATGAACCCTTTCCACCCGGAAATAATACATCAACCTGACTTGTTATAAATGTTACTGTTCGTGAACGTCCACTGAATCATTGCTAAGTATCTCACAATTTTTTCTACCCGGACGTAATATGTAAACCCGAATATATTATAAATGTTTCTTTTAGTTAACATCCACTGAATCATTGCTAAGTATCTCACAATTTTTTCTACCCGGAAGTAATATGTAAACCCGAACATATTATAAATGTTTCTTTTAGTTAACATCCACTGAATCATTGCTAAGTATCTCACAATTTTTTCTACCCGGAAGTAATATGTAATATGTATTATAAATGTTTCTTTTAGTTAAAATCCACTGAATCATTGCTAAGTATCTCACAATTCTTGCTACCCGGAAGTAATATATAAACCCGAACTTATTATAAATGTTTCTTTCCATTAACGTCCACTGAATCATTGATAAATATTTCCCAATTTCTTCTGCCTGGAAGTAATATATAAACCGGACTTGTTATAAATGTTTCCTTTACTTAACGTCTACTGAATCATTGATAAATATCTCATAATTCTTTCTACCCGGAAGTAATATTTAAACAAATCCGAGCTTATTATAAGGGTTTCTTTCAGTTAACATCAACTAAATCATTGCAAATATCTCATAATTTTTGTTATCACAATATATTTTTCTACAACATTCAGACTGACTTTATTCATTTACGTAACGTGTAGTGTAGGTCGGGATGAAAAAAAAATCTAAATCGGAAAATGAATATAAAAGAGTTGTTAAGCAAAGATAAATGAAAAATATGGTTGGAAAGCTAAGGACGGAAACTGTCACAACTAGTTGAATTAATACGAATTAGCTCAACATTTCTCTAACATGTCATCACTTATGTCATCATTAAAGTGATGTTAGCCAGAATTGTAACCACTCTTGGCAAGGATACCGAATGACACACGGAACAAAACCTAAACCATCTGTGGTAGTTTAAAAATATAGCTTCTCTCATTATGTATTTGACTTGAGAGTAAGCTCAGATATGAGTACCCTGTTCCTGGAAGAATATTTGTTGTTTTATTTAGAAAGTGTGAGCAGAACTGTTGCAAGCTTAGTATTCAAATAAAGTAACTTATGTGATCATTGTCGTCCTCCTTCCCTTATAAACAGATTGATCTTCCTTTTGAAATAATGGTAATTCAGGTCCATAGACGCTCAGGACTGCTTTGAATTAACTCAAAACATTATCGTTACCAAGTGCTGCATTATGAACTCTGACCTATATTGCAATTATCGTATCGCAAATACTCAAAAACATTCCGCGATTGATTAATCGCCTATTCATAAATAAAATTAAATGTTAGTTTTTCATCTATATAGTACATCTTGTATATATTGCGAACCGTGGTGATGTCCGAGCGTTCGTCTGTCTCCCGTTTACTGCGGCCACTTCCCGCACTGCGTTTGAAAAGATGCGCACGCAGGCAAAGCTCAACATTGATTTTAGAAATGACGGGAGAACAGGCATGAATTTTTATTTTGCAAGCAGGATATTCTACACCAAATTGTTAGGAATTAATCACACTACCATTCACATTTTTTTCAATTTACACTTATCCCATCACTGGGGACGGGCACTTTTGCTTGTTATTCTGTGTTTTATAGTTTTCATGGTAGTAGGTATTTTTAAGACTCCTTTTTTTTTGGGCAGACTTTTTAAATTTTAATAACAGACAATTCAGTCAATCTGAATGATTCAGACAAAATGTAAAAACAAATAATAATTGTTTGTTTGTTTGTAATTATGCACAAAGCTACACAAGGGCTATCTGTGTTCTGCCCACCACGGGTATCGAAACCTGGTTTTTAGCGTTGTAAGTCCGCAGACATACCGCTGTGCTACTGGGGGGCACAAATAATAATAGCAACTCAAATGGAATATTTTTAGACTCTTGTATATGTCGTTACTGCCCAAGTTTTTACGTCAAATTTTAATTCTCAGACTTCAGAATATCTCTAAAAGGTTAACTGCTAATTATGCTTAAACGCTTAAGGACTGCAAATGATTTGACACAGACTTATAAATATTTTTCTTGAAAATATGCCAACTGATATATATATATTATTTCATAAAGTATAAACAAAAAACAGCACTGAACACGGATTAATTTTATAGAATTACTGAAAGAAGGTTTACAGCATTAACTAGGTTATGAAATGCATGATTAGCTCTAAGTCACTATTTTTTCATTATTAATAAATCATCCAGATTAATTTCTGATATCAAATGTTTGAGTAAAGAAAATTAAGATGATACACAATTACAAAATAAAAAATAATGATCTGGTTTGGAGTGTCTGGAATAATTATGCAAAACATATAATTTTATTTTTAATAATCATTTTCATTATTACTGTATTTGACAGACATGAGTTATGTAACAGTCCGTTGAATTATTATTGTATTTGATAGGAAGTATGATAAGTATGGTTTATCATAGTCCTTTTCATTATCACTACATTTAATAGACATAGGATTTATGATAATCCTTTTCATTATCACTGTATTTGATAGACATAGGATTTATAATAATCATTTTCATTATCACCAGACTTGATAGACTTAGAATCTATGATATTTTTTTTCATTAACACTGTATTTGATAGGCATAGGATCTGTAACAGTGCTTTTTATTATTTCTGTAGATGTAAGGGGACAGCTTACGAAAGCATCACAGGAAAGTTTGTTTTTGTTTTTGAGTTTCGCGCAAAGCTACACGAGGGCTATCTGTGCTAGCCGTCCCTAATTTAGCAGTGTAAGACTAAAGGGAAGGCAGCTAGTCATCACCACCCACCGCCAACTCTTGGGCTACTCTTTTACCAACGAATAATGGGATTGACCGTCACATTATAACGCTCTCACGGCTGTTTGGTGTGACGAGGATTCGAACCCGCGACCCTCAGATTGCGAGTCGAGTGCTCTAACCCCCTGGCCATGCCGGGCTCACAGGAAAGAAGTCGTTCTTAAGACATCTCTTAGAAAATACTTGTTTCTCAAGAGTGTTTCACTAAAGGTTTCATAGCTTACGAGCCTTCTTAAGAACTTTCCTAACTTTACGATAAATAAATAGGTGTCTTACGACAGAATTAGGCATGACTGCCACCTAGGCATGACTATTTTTAATTTTACATAAATTACTCTGATACATTAAAGTTGTTTTTAAGTAAACATTTTTGTAACTGAAAAACCAGACAAGGAAGAAAAAGTGAACGTTGGAAGATAAGATATAAAAACCACGCGGCTTGAAAAATAGTATGCCATGAGTTATAGTGTTTTAAATTATTACTTTTTCTTGATTAAGTGAGATAACATCTTTTTAAAATGAAGGACAAACATGATTTGCTACATTTATGAAAGCTAAACAAAGTAAGATTAATAAAACATTTGTGGCATTTCGTACAAATTTTGTTTAACATAACTAACCATCTGATCTGATTGATATATATAATCCCGTTACTCTGTATTCTTAAGACACTTTTTAAGTCATAAATAAAGAAAAATGGCAAGAATTGTTTAGTTAAGTGATATTATTTCTGATTACGACATTAATTTTTAAATGTGCATCTTAATTTATTTGTAATTAATGGGCTATCTATGCTCTGCCTATCACGGGTATCGAAACCCGGTTTCTAGCGTTATAAGTCCGCAGACATGCCGCTGTGCCACTGGGATGTATCTTGATAATTAACTGTCTAGACTTAGCTTTCTGTAGCTTCTATAAAAATAATCATGCAAATTATAAAAAGCTCCATTAAATAGTCCAAACAATAAGCAAACTTAATCATTGTGGCATACATTTTTTTCTATAAAAAGAAAGAGACTTATTACGATACCTTTCCCGTGATTATATTGTATATCTTTTTAGTTATTTATCTGGCTTACGTTTTGACACCGCAGATTTCTCTGTTCATCCAGTACTTGCATTCTGTCCAGTACTTCTTATTAGTTCCCGGGACTTCTTCCACAGCACAGGTATTAGGCCTAATACAAGTAAAATAACAATAGCAACGCCATTAATATTTACAAATGTCAAATGCCTTCTAGATGAATATAAAGTTAATACTGATTTATTACATTTATGTTTTAATCTAACTCAGAGACTTAAAAGAAAGAAACATTTTATAAACACTTCGGGAGCTTTCGGAAAATGAAGTTAGGCATTTTGGGATTCAAAATACAGAAAAAAAAATCAACTTACACTGAAAAGAATATTGCCCAAAGATATTATAACATACAAAAAATAGATTCAAAACTATAATCACTTAATATTCTAGACCAAGCAAACACATTGTGTTATTGAGTAATTAGAAAATATACATCTAGAGCTAATTCGAATGATTTGAACTCTATGAAGCCACTCATTAGCGTAGTATCCAGTAAAAATAATCATTAACAAAATAATTTAACAACTTCAAGCAAGTATAAATAATTATATAGATCACGAAACAGTTAATTTTAGGTTTTAAGGACAAGAGCTAATTCCCCAATTTTTACAAACATCAGACTTATGAGCTAAGATCAACCCGTACAATTCGAAACAGTGTCATCATTTCTTCGTAGCTGGACAGCAGCGGTTAAAATGGATGTGGACTCGGAAACTTCCAATCCTCCCAGCTAAAAAAAAGTCGTCAAGGAGAGTCCCCCTAGTTATATATATCAAGGGGTTATTTTAAAGTTTTCTAAGAGGGATGACCTAGTGGGCTAGATACTGCCCCCTCCCCCAGCTCTAGATTTTCATTTTAACCACTGCTGTACAGATGTATGTGTTCTAGAAGGATTTGATATCAGTTACGCACTAAAAAAAGAATTGTGTTCTTGTTTAAATTATTAATCATCTAAGTAACGTGAATAAGCTGGTACTTGTTTGTTTTTACTTCAAGTAGATTTCTTCACAAGTGTTTCTCGTGTCCCCGTTTTCTGCATTCAGTGCCATTTACACATGTCTGGAGTTAAACCTTTTCAAAGGAAATTCGACAAGCATTCAGGAGCACCTTCTAACAACACCTTCTGACATAATTTTGTTATTCAATACCTTCTGTAATTATTAACATAACGCTGTTTTCACAGATGATATCAATGCTCTCTAAGAATTTTTTTTTTACATTTGCATATGACTCATAGCCTTGTACTTGTTTATTCATTAGCTAAACAAGTTCTTTCCCTTAACAAAATTTCTAGCATACAAAATGTTATTTTAAACTATACTGAGAGTGTATGTACTCATAATTTTCGGTTCTAAGTCAAGTTTTACGAAAGAGTTCTAAGAGGTTTTTCTGAGGGAACCATAAAGATGTTATTTTATTACTCGGAAAGCTTCACTTGAATTAAAACAAATAATGACTTCGCACTTAACGTTCCTGGTAAAAATGGATGTTTTATCGATTCCAAAAACACAATTTTACTAGATAAACACCGCACAGGTGGTCAAAAATAGCATTTACGAGATAAAACCGTACAGATGGTCTTGCGCTGTGGTCTATGCGGATACAAGATTAGTTTTAGAGCGTCAACTGTTGTACACCCACACCTTTCAATCTTACATTTCCAAGTAATCAAGTATACAGACTTTGTTGACCAAAACTTTATGTTATATGGCTGTAATCTTCATATATTTCTTCTAGACAACGACTGATGATAGATACATGGCAAGAAAGTTGCTGTTCTTCTAGGTTAAAAGAGAACGAAATGGTTTGATTGTTTATTTCTAAGCCCAAAGCTATATAATGGACTATCTGCGCTGCGCTCACCACGGGTATCACACCTCGAATTTTAGCATTATAAACTCTCAAGCTTATTGCTGAGCTACCATACGGCTAAGAGTACGAAATAATAGACCAAGTTAATAAATAAATAAGTTATTCACTACCTGTAGGTAAAACAAACACAAAACGAAGGATGATTTTGTCCTAAAGTCTATACAAGTCGTGTGTTCAACTGCCTAACTAAATTAGGCAAAAGCCTATACAAGTTATGTGTCCAACTGCGTAACTAAATTAGGCAAAAGCCCATACAAGTTGTGTGCTCAACTGCGTAACTAAATTGGGTCTCCTTGACCGTAACTCGGATTCCTGAAGCATATTTCTTACAGTTTGTTGCTTATAATTTCTCAGTTTTTGTTCTGAAGTTCATATGAGCCTATGGGATTATTTTGTGCATATATCAATCACTACCAATCATAACTGACATTCTACAGCCCTGATATTTTGTCCAGTGTATAGATCATTGTCTGATAAAATATCCACAACATTATCAATAAGAATTTGGATGGTTCAGTAAAACTGCAGATATCACCAAAACAGTAAATCAGCAAATGACCAAATCTGGTGTTGCGTCTATCAAGGGCAGGTAAAACGTACAATATAAGCCGAAACATGAAATGGAATTATTAACATGAGCATGTTACAGATTCACAGGGAAGGCAAAAGGTCAGTAGAACCCGTCGCCACAAGGAATTCTTTTCGGTTCTTTTGAACCGAATAACAAAATTTACTGTCAGTTTTATAATCCGTCCACAGCTGAAGGTATGGAGCGTACTCAGAGGCATTACATCTCTAACCCTGGACTTTCGATTCACAGCATAACACGCTAATCACTAAACCACACCTGAATCAATTGTGTATTTTCACAACAGTACACCTAAAGTGTGTATAGAACTAATTTTATAACTGTATTCTGGTTTTATTTCTTTACTGTATCAAATTTTGGCCCTTTATATTTTGATGCAGTGCATATTATTTTATGAAATTTTATAAAATATTTAATTGTATTATTTGCCAAATATACAATTCAATTAAAATCTGGTTTCAATTAAGATATAGGTGTGTCTATTTAAGAGCACACCGCATTGTTGTTTTGATTTTTATTTTGATTTTTCGCAGCTAGTTCTCGGATCAGCATAAAAGTTATGTTGTTGTATCATACAACGTGACCCGCAAGGAAATAACTTCTTACTCTCGATAACAGTGTAGAGCAGCGTTGCTGTGGATGATAATCATGCTTTGAACAACTGTATAACGAACTTGTCTTTATAAATCGTCATTTCACTGTCACAATGTACACTTCTCATTTATCACAATAAATCTAACCAAGAGGGTGCTGTTATGATTAGTTTCACTTCCTCATTTTCACTTTGAATGTAAATTAATCTCAGACTGTACATTTACTTATAAGTTTCGTACGAATATATTACCCTAAGGATAACAAAGATCTGAAAGTCAATTTTTGTGGACTGCATTTCTGTATGTTCATTTTTGATTGGGTTTGTTTTAGAGCAAAGTCACATTGAGCTATATGCTGTGTCCACCGCGGGGAACCGAACCCCGGATTTAAGCATTATAAGTTCGTAAGCTAACCGCTGTCCCACTGGAATACTTTTGTTGGGAAATCTTTATCTAATTTTCATAGATTTCAGCAACTTAAATCTAACTTTCAACTAGAGGGAAGGTAGTCAGTCAAAAACACCCACTGCCAATTCTTGGGCTACTTATTGTTTGACCGAATAGTAAGATTTGATAGTTACTCTTACAGCACACTCACAGCCCAAAATTGTGGAGGTCGATTTTTGTGGCTATAGGATGTGAACCACGAAAACCCTGATTCGCAATCCAGTACTATATAAGATGATTCGTTGTCACGGTTAGTAGAGTATACGATCATCAAAGCAAATAATTAATAAGTAACTTAATAATTGTTTACTATGTTCATTATAGAGTTAAATACTGATTACCGGCTACTGGGTTTCTATTGCTAATCTGCTGGTGTCTTCAGGAAAGTCACGAGAAGGACTATTTCTGTCTTGATAGTGGCATCATATGATAATGCAATAATCAGATAATTTTTGTCGTAGATTTTAGGCAACCTCTAATATACTAGACATAGTGAGATCAAAGCTGAATGACGAACTTTCATTAACTACGAAGCACACACACACAAAACAAACGAGACTCGAATAGAAAACTGTGTTATTGAATATTCCTTGGTTTTTATTTAATCTCATGTTAAATGGATCCAGGTGGTGTGCGGAGGATAGTTAAAGAGAGCAACATATGGCATTATAAGCTCAATTACACGTGACGCTTTACCTAACGAATCAATCATAGCAGGTCATGAGTCAAATGTTGATTAAAATCAACGTCATTTTTATAACCACAGATCAGATCAATTAAGGAGAAGTTTCAATGGTATACAGTGTTATAAATGAATTATGAGTAGTACCAAAAGTGCTATTTATTTAGAAACACGTGTAGCTTATATCACTTTTACGAAACGAAGTTTTGCATGTAATGTGTAATATCAACAGTTAGGGTATTTCCTAACTAACTATCTCGAGGCTTGTCAAATGTGACGAAAATTAAGTTCGTTACTTTCGAGAGTCAATAACGCAATTGATTCTAGTTATTTTTAAGACGAGCTAAGAATGTAAAGTTCCAGCATTTGCTTGAGTTCAAGAGGTCGGTTTGAAAGATCAGCTAGTCGCAGACTAACTCAATCTGATTTTTCAGCAAAAATCTACTAAAAATATTACAGAAGATTATTAATTAAATCATAACTAGAAGCGTAGTTTTGTCAATAAAGACAAATATATTTAATTACAAGTATACATATTGAAAACACATATTCACAAAGGGAATGATAATTCCTCTGCCTTTTTTTTACCATAATTGACTTAATTCTAATCTTCTCATTGCTAAAAAAAAAGGAGGTTTAATAATTATTTACAAATTAATTGCCGAACTTACAGATAGTACGCTAAACACATAGTACTCTCACTTTCTGTATTATTTCAGTTTTTTTTTGAATGACAGCTATATAACATAATTTGTTTTAATACAGTCTTTTTGAATGATTTGGGCTAAATATATGCACTATAACTAACACACTATGACCTATATGGTTCCAGTTAATATTAAAGAATGGTTACTTGAGGACGCCACTTTATAACAAAAACTAACTTTTAACCAAGTCGTTGGCTCTTTATGTTT